CATTTTGGTTGATTGATTGATTAATATTGTGAATTCTTGTTTCAATGATTTGTTCTAAGCCAACCAAATTATCATACTAAATGAAAAAAGATTTTTCTTTTTTGAATAATAAGAAGTATTGGACTTATCTACTTACTTGACCATTGTCTACTAATAGTATAAATAATATGTGTTAACCGATTAGAATCATGTTACTTGTTCTATATAAAGAATGACAGCGTGTAATACGGCAACAACAACCATTCAGCCTAATGCTACTGAAAAACGTTTTTATAAGCTCAATGGTTCCTGAACGCGTGTATTGAATGAACTGTACCACAATCTGTCTCTGATCATTAACAGGCAATAGAATAGAGTTTGGTTCTCTGACGTTTTCACAGAAGCACGGACCAAGTGATTCCCGTATGAAAGCGTATGCAGAAGGGTTATCGTTTTTGCTCTGCAAGTCATAATCGTGAAAACATCTTAAATTTCGAACCTACACTCGAAAAAATTCTACTTTCCTCCCTGCAAACGCATTTTTCTTTGCTAGAATTCCTTTAAATGAAGCATTAAGTTTTTCAAAATATGAAAATTTCGTTTTCTGAAAGTTAAATGTGAAAATAAGATTAAAAATTTGAATAAAAGTTGTTTTTGACGAAATGTAAGTACTGTCTATGGAATCATATAAGTTCTCCGTGTTTAAAGGATTCGAGCTAATTTATCAACTTATTTAAACTGAGTGTAAAATGAGTGTTTAAATCTGGCAGTCAATCGGAAAAAGTAGCGCAGTACTTTAGTGAAACCCGCAAAAGGAACTAATTGCATGCTAGTTGAGTAAATTTAAACTATATCGTAAAATCATTAGTAGTTAGAAGCCTCACCAGCCACATACGATCGATCAAGACATTTGTGATGGAGATCTGTTGAAAATATTGCCGGACGATGGAGCTCTCGTCTATGTCAGCTGAGTGATGAAGAGTTACCCTAGTGATCTCGAAAAGCACAATGTACAAATGTATCAATAAATTCACATAATAGACGACGAAAAAATTTCTTGATAGCATCCACTTTGTCAAGTTGATATTCTTTCTTCTCATAGTCAGCGAAACTCGTTTGACATTGATTCTTAACTAATAATTTTAGTAATAATAATTGTTGTTTTTGTTCAAATTCCGCTTTATGTTCGTCTTCTTGAGTATTCCATTGTTGTTTTTGGTGCTCATCAACTAACATTGGTTCTAGAGAATTATATAGTTTTCGATATCGTACCTTGTGTAACGAATGTAAAAATAAATTGTGTATAAAATAAAAAAACGTTAAGTATGATAAGTTAAGACAAAACAAAGGTTAACTTATCCCTACATAATTAACTTGCATATTTTTTCTTCTATAGCCATTTAGAGTTGAATGACATAAAGTAGGCAATATCTGAAATTGTCATAGTATTTACTAGACAACTTTGTCGATTTCAGTTGGACAAACGAGATAGAGCCAACATTTATTTTTCATGCTCGTATGAAAATATCAGCTAGGATATACTAGTAGTTTTAATTTTCAAACTCTATTATTGGCAAGCTACTAACTAGTAACGTTAATATA